GCAAATTAGGTACTTGGATATCCAAGTGACTGAAATATAGTTGTAAATAATTGTTGGCATAAGGTTGTGCCTGCAATCATTTGTACCTGCTATTTATAGATACAATATGGAACGCAGTTAAGTCTGGACTAAAAGTTAGGTTGTGAATGTACATTCTCTCCTTGGATTTCCTAGATCTTTCCAATCATTGTATATACTCTGGTAAGATTCTGTCTTGGTTGTTTTTACTAATGACTATACAGCTTCAATTCAAGAAACCAAGAAGGTCTTGTATTTGCTTCTTTAAGATCTGACCTCTCATCAGTTAATGTTGTCTTCTTTCCCTTCTAAAAGTACATGGTGTGAACAAAGCAAATAAATGGCTAGGTTTCAAAGCATGGAACCCTTCCCCCTTCATCATTTACTTAACAGGTTTCATGCACACATGTTCCATTTAAGGTTGTGAACATTTTATCCTAGTAAGTGACATCCAGGGTATGCGTATGTTATTTCCTAATAAACATAATTGCTAAAAGTGTTAATCCCTCAGAGATACCACATGTGTAATACTAGATTCCAACAAACTACATTTTATTAAGCTACACTAGCAACCAGAACAAACACCATTGTGCTACTTACCGGTCCCCATACTGTGGGAAGAGTGTCTAAAGTACTATTATTAGATAGCCAAATATGCAAAGAGGGTTTTTACCATTATTATTACTACATCTTTTAAATTTTTTAAAAAGATGTAACAGGGTATTAGGATCCTACACAGAGATGCAGAGCTCTTCTGCTGATTCAACTTGGCTGTCAGGCTAATGGGTCCTTTTAGCTCAACCCTAGTAGTTTAATAAGGTTTGTGAGTGACTGGGGAACAAGGAACTAGAAGCAAAGCCAGTGGATTCTACAGGGAAAAACCCTAGGAACAGACATTTTCAGAAAAAAGTGTTGGTTGAGGTTTATATTTTGTTCCTATTTATGTTAGCAATAAAGGCAAATCCTTGGACATGGGTAAGCTTGGATTAGATCCACTGTGCGTGTGTACTGTGCTAGGTGCAGGGTGGGAACTCAACCTGCTTACAATAGATGTATGCATTGTTCTTTTTGCAAAATTTAATCTGCATATCCAGTGAGTGAGTTGGACATAAACATTCCAAAAATTGTTTGTTTTTTAACATACCGGGTATTTTGTCTGAATGAAATAAGATAGATGGCACCAGGAGAGATTCCACAATGTGCAAGATTTTGTGAAAACATAAGAACTTTTTCTTAAAATGAGTATTGTTTACCCCTAAAAAAAACTACAGACTCTCTTCCTTCCACATTCTACACAAATCTCATGTGCTAAGGTCTAAAAGTGAAGTTGTAAAATACTCTAAAGTGAGGTTGGGCTGACTCATTATCTTGAAATAAGGACCATCTACAGTCTAAGTCAAGACAACTATCTGATGTAAAAAACACAGCTTTCCTTTTCTTCCCAGTAAAGACAGCCTACCTGAGCCTGGAAAAAGCCTGGAACAATATCTCTGAAAGGTGCTCACTAGGGTGTTAACTCAGATGCCCAATGATGATAATTAAATACCAACACTGTTAACTATTTCATGCATGTAAGAAAGGAGAGGGGGATCATAGACCTGCACAATTTACTGTGATATTTCATTTTGGTGTCACGAGTGGGTGGTGTTGGCAAGGGGTCACCATTTATTTTTTCTCCAAGCCCAAGGAGCCTAGCACAGCCTATGTAGACACGGGCAGAGCATATTTTATAGGCAGACCTTAAAATAGAATCACCATTCCTTCCACTACCCCCATCTGACTCTACCTACAAATATACTTATGTCTGTAACCTAGGAAAGAACAAAACTGCAGAATAACTTCTCTTGACACTCTTCATCTCAAATATTTGCCAACCTAGCAGACAAAGAAAGAGCAGCACAAATGGGCCTGCTCCCACTATCATTCTGTATGGCTGACGGGAGAAAACCATATTGCTTTGTCTCAAGTAGAAACAAGCTATAATGAGTCCATGAGGGTAAGTAGCACAGTGACATAAGAAAATAAAAAAGTGAAAAAATATGATGACAGTCAGAAGAGCAAAGATTCCAGTTTTGAACAGAAGAAAGGTGGTCCTTTCTTAAGTGTAGTTTTACTCTGAAAAGTAACTGTAAAAATAGTATCATAGGGTTTCTTGTTTAGTGGGTCTTTTTGATTCCTTACCATATTCACTCAGTTTAAAATTACAAAGATGGTTTTTTTTTTCCTAGCTGCCAGCCCCTTCAAAATGAGCCTGGGATCTGAAAGTCAAGCTGGGTCCTTTCTTTCTCACATATCTCCACCACACTACAGATAGTGCAGGGCAAATTCTGCCCTCGGTTGTTCCAGTGCAACCTCATGAGATGCAATTTGGAAGTTGTGCAACTAAATCCCTTGCACTGCTTGGAGAAATCACTATCATAGTCTCCAAATTATAGTGGCCCATGCATTTGCTCTCTGATAAGATGGAACTGCACTACAAACTATACAAAAAACAAGCCTCTAGTATTCTAAAAAGGTAGCATCTTAAAGCCAACCACAAAGGTATACAGGTTTAGAGTAGTATGTAGCAATCTATATCAGGAAGGCTTGTTTCATCTGCTAGCTAAGAAAGCAGTATAGCATATACTAAGTTAGGAGAAACATCCCAACATGTTCCTGGTATTCTTCTCAAACTGGAGGAGCATCCAATCATAGTTTAATTGTCATAAAACACAGCCAATGTAAGCTGAAATGCAAAAAATAGCTACTTTCCCCTGTAATTGACATGTAACCTCCTTTAAATTGTTACAGGTGTGTTGGTATTGCCTGGTGAGGAACCCAAATCTTTGCTGCTCCCCACACACAGGTTGTTCATAAAATGAGACCCCCACTGTGCCAGCCAATGGCTTATGGTTTTAGCGATTAATTCCCAGTCAGAGAGACACTAAGGGGCGGGGGGGAGGGGAGAGGAAGAATGGGACTAATTAAGTGCAGCAGAACCTATTTAGTTCCATCACCTTAAAAGGGGTGGGAGGGAAGAAGAGTAGGAGGAAGAAAAGGAAAAGAGTATGGGCGGTGAATTTGTGTCACTATAAAGCATAAGTGGAAGGAGGAGACAAAATGGGGATTTCTCTCACAGAAGACAGTGTGATAAGAACAGTGTGTTTGCCAGAAGCTCACATATGGCATGTTAGAGAAACAGAAGTGCTACCTTGTATGGTTAGTACTTTGTTTTTATGTTAACTCCATGGAAAGAATGTAGCTAGAGACATGCCAAATTAATGTCAATTTAGATTAAACAAGAATCCCTGCAATAAAACCCTACCTAGAGAGAGGCTGACTTTGTACTCAAACCTGAGCCTTTGGTGAGCTTTCTTCTCATTTTTGTCCTTGGCCCTGCTGCAGGTTGTTTTAGGAACAGTGCTATTAAGTGTAGAGGAAAGCTGTCTGAAAAAATGTTCTAAATATTTTTTAAAGAATTAATGCAATGCTTTTGCATTTTTATAGCATTTTGATTTTTTTTGCCAACATTTTGACTAGCTTTAACTGCCTTGGAAAAAACTAGGCAAAAAATGTGTGTGGGAGGGGGTTTTTTGGTTAAAATTTGAAATGGAAAAAAATGTCAGTGTTCGAAGCTTTTGACTGGTTCCAGTATGGTACAAAGTATAAAGGAACTTTCATATCTGTATCTTGATGGATACACATGATGGAAACTGATGTTCTATTAATAAAAAATGGGTCTTTTTAGTATAATATATTCTAGGCATACAGGATGGCATCCAAAAGGGTTTTTTCTGTGAGCTACACTCTTCAGGTACAGCGTTAAGTCTTAAAAGCCTTTTTATCAGACGAGAACTCTTTGGAGAAGGGAAAATCCTGACCTTTCCTTGTTTTCTCCTACTTATCCCCAAGCTTTTTTCCTTTGTTTGACTTCATAGAGTTGGTATGCAAATTGACTAGTACTGCAGAGCCTACCTACTGTGTGTTTGGTTTTTCTGTCACTCTTCCTCTTTCCTGTGTTTTGTCCAACAGACTAAAGTTTTAAAAAAAAATCCAAGAGGACAGTGTGGCATTTTTATATTTTGACAATATATAAAATATTGGGAGAGCTTTCATTTAAAAAAAAATCCCATCCAGCAAAACAGAGACTAAGATTAGAAACACATGTTAAGTTTCTTATCACATCCCAATTTAGTCTCATATAACTACAGGTAAGCAATAGCACATGCCAGGATAATTATTCAAGAATCTGTGTATGCACACACTGAATGTGCTGAGGTCTTTGAAATATTTTACTGATTCACATTTTTGAATACAGTATGTGCATATATATTTAGTATGCCTTGAAATAGCAGTTTATTCTCTAATTACACATGAATATC